GCCCGAAACAAAGTCCCAAAAAAGGATCTTAAATTTCTTCTATTTTTTTTAGGAGTTGTTTTATTTTTTAATAACTGTGATTGCATTGTATTATCGTCGAATTATCTTACTAATATATGAGTTAATTGATTGTGGGTTGAAATAGTTATAAACGGTCGACCTCATATAAGTTAAGGTTGACCGGACCAAAGGCGGTCGACCTAACACTACCGCCCGGTCGACCGCACATTTAATACGGCCGACCAAACCGGTTGACCTGACCAGACCACCCACCCAACCCTCCCTCCATCCTCTATTTAAGAAACCCTCCCCCACTCATTCTACACCACAATCAGAACCCTATCCCCCCCACATCCACTCATTCTTCCTCTCCTTTCCCTTCTTCATCTTCTTCTCCCATTTCCAAAAACACCATTTTCCAAAATTTCTTGAAAGCCTTCATCCTCATCACTTAGAAGAAGAACAAGGTAATGCTTTTCACTCTTCTTTGATTTGTGGGTTGATTCTTGTCTTCTACCTCTTGTTTTCAAAAAATCTAAAGATGGAAAAGAGGGGTTTTTGCTTCTGTTCGTCAGAAGCGGTCGACCTGTTCATCATCGTGGTCGACCGCTACTGACTTGTAATCTAGTTTCCTTCTGTTTTATGGACTGAGGTCGACCTATGATGATTTTGAGGTCGACCTGTGATGTCTTTGTACTATTTCTGGCCGTGTTTTGTAGATCTGTAGCTTGAAAAAGAATGTTTTTTCATTCTGTACGCCAGGTGAGGTCGACCTTCTCATATTAGTGGTCGACCGCATCTGGCTTTCATCCCGCTTTTCCTCTGTTTTATGGATTGAGGTCGACCTATGATGATTTTGAGGTCGACCTGTGATGTCTTTCTTTTATTTCTGGCCGTGTTTTGTAGATCTGGCCGAGGGATTTTCCCTTTTGTACGCCACGTGCGGTCGACCTTCCCATGTTCGTGGTCGACCGCATCTGGCTTTCAATCGCCATATCCTATTGTTTTATAGACTGAGGTCGACCTCTTCAGATATTAGGTCGACCTGTGATGTTTTGCACTCAATTGGTACCATCATTTGGGCCATTTTATGCTCGTTTTAATTTAGCCGAGGTCGACCTATGATGGTTCTGAGGTCGACCTATGAAGGCAAAAGTGCGAGTTAATGTCTCATTGTATTTCAAATTGTTCGAAACTACCATCGGTCGACCTCTTGAGATTGTGAGGTCGACCGGATATGTTTTGATCTCAAATGGTACTATCATTTGGCCTATTTTATCCTCGTTTTAATTTAGCCGAGGTCGACCTATGATGGTTCTGAGGTCGACCTATGAAGGCAAAAGTGCGAGTTAATGTCTCATTGTATTTCAAATTGTTCGAAACTACCATCGGTCGACCTCTTCAGATTGTGAGGTCGACCGGATATGTTTTGATCTCAAATGGTACTATCATTTGGCCTATTTTATCCTCGTTTTAATTTAGCCGAGGTCGACCTATGATGGTTCTGAGGTCGACCTATGAAGGCAAAAGTGCGAGTTAATGTCTCATTGTATTTCAAATTGTTCGAAACTACCATCGGTCGACCTCTTCAGATTGTGAGGTCGACCGGATATGTTTTGATCTCAAATGGTACTATCATTTGGCCTATTTTATCCTCGTTTTAATTTAGCCGAGGTCGACCTATGATGGTTCTGAGGTCGACCTATGAAGGCAAAAGTGCGAGTTAATGTCTCATTGTATTTCAAATTGTACGAAACTACCAATGGTCGACCTCTTCAGATTATGAGGTCGACCGGATCTGTTTTGTACTCAAATGGTACTATCATTTGGCCCATTTTATGCTCGTTTTAATTTAGCCGAGGTCGACCTATGATGGTTCTGAGGTCGACCTATGAAGGCAAAAGTGCGAGTTAATGTCTCATTGTATTTCAAATTGTACGAAACTACCAATGGTCGACCTCTTCAGATTATGAGGTCGACCGGATCTGTTTTGTACTCAAATGGTACTATCATTTGGCCCATTTTATGCTCGTTTTAATTTAGCCGAGGTCGACCTATGATGGTTCTGAGGTCGACCTATGAAGGCAAAAGTGCGAGTTAATGTCTCATTGTATTTCAAATTGTACGAAACTACCAATGGTCGACCTCTTCAGATTATGAGGTCGACCGGATCTGTTTTGTACTCAAATGGTACTATCATTTGGCCTATTTTATTCTCGTTTTAAATTAGCTGAGGTCGACCTATGCTTCTTCTGAGGTCGACCTGTTCTCGTTTTAAATTAGTTGTGGTCGACCGCTTTATAGAGTGGTCGACCGCGTATTGTTCATTTCGAAATTTGGACTAACGTGTATTCTTGCTTGTTTGATCGCAGGATGTTTGGCGGCAAAAAGAAAAGAAAGGCACAAAAAGCTGCTGCTTCAAGTTCGGAATGGGAAGAGTTCAATTCGAATTTGTTCCAGTCGAAGGAGCAAAGTGATAACTACGAAGAGAAGAGCATGCACAACCGCAGGGTGGTTCCGGGAAGGCCATTGACGGCGGATGCGTATTCTCATTTCGAGAATTATGGGTTTCTGGGACCCTTCGTCGATCAGGAGTGGTTGAAGGTGATATCACTCAATGTACCATACTACCCAAAAATGGTACAATACTTCTACAACAACATCTCCTACGAGCGCAATGCAAATGGATCCATTCACGCATTCAAATCCTATGTGAATGGGGTGGCGATGCGGATCAGCAAGAATGTGTTGGCGCAAGTACTGGAGGCTCCAAACGCGGGGAGGAGAATCAATTCTTACGGTGCTTGGAATGAAACGCATTACACGAGAGCCAAGCAAATCCAGACCGTATGTGGTCTTGATGAAGAGGAAGATGCTCAGGGGCGCAATAGGCCATCGAGTAACCACCTGACAGTTCAAGCCAGAGTTCTTCACCACATGCTTTCCTACAACATTCTGCCAAAGGGTGGACATCGGGAGACAGTCACCTACTTCGACATGGAGCTCCTCACCAGCCTGCTGTTAAACGAGAAGGTGAACTTGCCACACTTGATCTTTACCCACATGCTTACTGCTGCTGAGAGTTCAAACAGGAATCTTCCCTATGGGATGATTCTCACTGTGATATTTGAGCATTTTAATGTGAATTTAAGTGAAGAGGTGGGGTTATCGATCTCAAGGCAGGAGTTCTATACTGTTTCATCTCTGAAAAAGATGGGCTTTGAGCTGCGTAATGGTGAGTATGTCAGAGCAAACATTGCTCATGCTGGTGGTGGTGATGATGATGATGATGATGAGGATGATGATGGTGATCAAGGAGCTCGAGACGAGCCAATGGGGGAGGCACAGACTTCAACTCCACCGATCACCTTACAGCGTGTGTGGGAGCGCATGGATGGCATGTACGAGTACATGGGCCAGATGAACGCCCAGATGACTGGCATGTACGACTACATGGGGCAAATGAACGCCCAGATGAGCACAATGCAGCTGACCGTGAATGAGATGCGAGATGAGTGGCGATCTTTCAGCGGAAGATACATGCATCCCACCACATCTGACCACCATGCTACCACCACCAATGAAGAAAATGAAGAAAATGTGAATGAGGGAGAGGGGGGAGATGAGTAGTTTTTAGTTTTATTTGTTTAGTTTTATTTTTATGTGTGAACAATTATGCTATGATGGTGTTTTTTGTTTTATTTTTATGTGGTGAACAATTATGCTATTTTATGTGTGTTTTATTTTTAGTTGTTATGCTATGGATTGATGAGTCCTTGTTATAATTGACTAATTATGATGGTTTGAAACATAATTTATACGATTAAATTAACCACACAAATCGACATACATAACCAAAAAAGACACGGGGCATAGGTTGACTTTCTTGTATTCGGTCGACCTCGTACCGGATTAGGTCGACCGAGAAACCAACACTTGATCTCCATTTTACGTCAAATGATTGGACACTTTGATAGAACACTTATCTTCTATCTGGTCGACCTCTTTCCTTATCCGGTCGACCATTTTGTTAATTACTGCCATCAAGTGGTCGACCTATATATTAGGTGGTCGACCATGTTGTTTCTGACGCCAACGAAATGGCCGACCGAGGTTCTATTCTGGTCGACCAAAAATACCAACTTCAACTAAATGCGGTCGACCAGGTGGTCGATGCGGTCGACCGCAAGGCTTTCTCGTGCTGCCCAAATTAGACTATGCGGTCGACCGCCCTTAGTAAGAGGTCGACCGAAAAATGCATGTCACCGTGACATGCATGTCATAGTAGGCATACCCAATATTTTCACTATCTACTCGACTTACTAGAATTACTTATCGATATCCAAAAACCAACGAAGCACAAAGACTTGTTTGTTAGCTTAAATTTACTAGGTTCTCATTACTCCATTCCCAATTCGATATTTGCAGGAATTTGTGGCATTCATTGTTGGGATATTCCACATGATGAATGGTTTAAACCTTTCTCGAGACAACGTGAAACGAGCCATGGTTGCTTTGCTCTCGACGGTCATTGTGTTGTTGTTTTAAAGTCTAGAGATTTACTAGTTGGCATACCAACTAGAATATATGATTGATACATAAGCAATTTAGTTTGGTAGTATGTACTCCAATGCAGAATGAAAAGAGGGGGCAAGTTAGCTTGTATATACTACTTTAATGTGACACAATTTCAGAGCATCCATACGAGTAGATAATAGTATTATTCTTTTGCATCTTTTATCATGGATAGACATGACCAATACATTTTTGTTCTTTACGTAATATGAGGAGTCAAAACTCGATGTACTACCTAAGATAGATGGTCTAATTTAACTCATAAAACTTCGGATGACCACAAGACTATTTCCTCTCTATATCTTCTATGTTTGCACTTTCCACATCTAACCCTTTGTCATTCTCTCTCTTAATCCTTTGCACTTAACTCCATTATCAAATCATGATCACTCTTGTTTGATTAGAGGTTAATTCTTTTTTCCTAGTGGGCTTCCTTCATTTTATACCTTCAATTCATCCCCTCCAACTTTTTTTCACAATTGTATCAACACTTCCTGATCCCTTTCCCCAAGAAAAGCACTTCTTAATTCTTTTTTAACAAGAATTAGATATTATACCATGGTTACAATCCTGTTAATCCATTATTGAATTAGGGAAGGCATTAGATTGCTTTTGTTTTGAGTTTTCCTTTTTCTCAATCCTTTTTAAGTTTGTGTTTCTTTCTCTTGTGTCTTTTATATGATCTTTCGAGGCTATTCGGGTTGATGTGCTTGAGTGAAAAACAAAAAAAACTAGTCGATTAAAAGGAGGAAAGAGGACAAACAAAATGGACAAAAACGAGGAAGCCTCGGGAGAGAAATCACCCGAGAAAAAGGAGGAGAAGGAGACTAAAGGTAAGGATCATGAGGACGACGATGATGATGATCATGAAGATGACAGAAAGATTGAAGTGGGTCCTCAATACTCGCTCAAAGAACAACTTGAGAAGGATAAGGTATGATAATTCTCTAGTCATGGAGAGATATTAGGTCTTTAATTAGACAATTGTTACTTTGTTAGTATTTTCATTGAGTTGATTTGGTCGTAATTAGATATTAGATACCAATTTAGACAATTGTGCTAATTTTGATGTTAGATATTGGTGTTTGTATGACTCTATTGACAACGTTTTGCCACATGTCGTTAATGGTTAAGAGGTTGAAGTGAACTTCAAAAAATAAAGGGCAATGTCTATTTTTTACCCAAACCTTTTCCAGATTCTTTTATTTTAACCAAATCTATAGAAATTCTATTTATTATCCAAACGTATTATAATTTATCAAAGTCTGGGTATTCATTCTGTTACCGTTACTTATTTTGTCCACGTGAGAGGTGGGATTTTGTTTTGTTTTTTGATAATCTTTTTATTAAAAATAGTAAATGATGGTATTATGACCGCCACGTAGGAAGTCAACTCATTATGGTCATGCTTAGTCAGCATTACTAACAGAAAAGTTGACGGAGAATTAACGTTTGGATAATTTTTAGGAATTCAATAGGTTTGGTTAAAATAAAAGAATCTGAAAAAGGTTTGAGTAAAAAATAGACATTGTCCAAAAATAAACAATTCCCATGGAGATTATTCATGTCTTATATAACAAATCAGGGTTATGGACCCAAATTTGTTGCTAGAAGTAGTTGGGATATTGTAGGAGATTGGAAACCTGAAAAAAAAAAAACATATGTTAATTATAATTGTCGTATTTATGGTGCTTGAGAGAATTATAGGATGACGAAAGCTTGAGGAGATGGAAAGAGCAACTTCTCGGTGCTGTGGATATTGAGGCTGTTGGAGGTGTGTCATTTAAACATGATCTTTTAATTAATTTATTGTCAAATGATTATGACGTTGAGAGTTGGGGTTTGTCCTTAATTTACTTTTTATGTTAGCTTTCTAAAGTCACATCTTTCTTCCTGAAGCTGTTCATTATATTTTACAGAAACTTTGGATCCCGAAGTGAAAATCTTAAGTCTAGCTATCAAATCTCCTGATAGGGAGGACATTGTGCTTTCGATCCCAGAAGATGGAGATCCCAAAGGTTGTTGGTTCACCTTAAAAGAAGGTTGCCGATACAGTTTACTCTTCACCTTTGAAGTCAAGAATAACATAGTGTGTGGCCTGCGATATACCAACACAGTTTGGAAAACTGGAGTCAAAGGTTACTTCCTCTCTTCCTCTTTCTCTTGCATATTAATTTTTTTTCTTTTTTTCTTTATATGATTGCTGACTCCAAATAATCCACATAGATTTTCAATAGACATTTCACTGTTAATCGATTCAAGATTTTTTTGTTATTTTTGTTCTTCACAGTTGATAGTACAAAAGAGATGCTTGGAACTTTTAGTCCACAAGCAGAGACTTACACACACGAGATGCCTGAGGAGACAACCCCTTCTGGCATGTTTGCTAGAGGATCATACTCAGCTAGAAGTAAGGTGAGTGTGTTTTCAATCCAATACCTTAAAAGTGTCTCGCTGAGTATCCTCATAAAATGCAAGAACTAGTGTTCCTGTTTTGTCTTAAAGAATAGATGAATCAGACTTGATCTGGTTAATGGTATTGAGATAGCACAAAAATTCTTAGACTAAGGAATATTTTTCACTCATACTACTAACTAGTAATTACCTTTTCTTCATGTTTGTTATTTGCTACTTATTTCTTGTCAATAATTTACATCCAATTATTTATTTAATTGTTGTTTAATTTGTTCTCAGTTTGTGGATGATGATAACAAATGTTACTTGGAGATCAATTACACATTTGATATTCGTAAAGAATGGCTGCCAACCTAAGCCCAACAGAGAGACCGGTCTAATGACATACATCAATGTCATGACAATTTTTGAGGCTTCAAAGATTATATTTTTGTCTGTGTTCTGTTTATGTTATATTTACGGTTAGAATTGTACGAGAGTTTTATTTGTTTTGTCTTTCCTATCGGAATTATATGATCACTTTTATTATATTTTTCGGTTAAAAGGTTGTACGAAATTATTTACTAAAACAATGGACAAGAAAATGCAACTAATAAATTCAATCCGACAACTTATTGTGCAAAATCATACGAGTACTTACAAGGAAATAAAGTAATCGTACTTCGAATATAACTACTCATATCTCACCGACAATTTTAAGAACGATTATTGACCGACCGATATGTCACATGACCGGGTTGATTATCGGAAATGGGTCGTATTCAGTATTCATTGGCCGCCCCCGAATTCGAGTCGGCCAGAAAGGAATCATCGGCTGGAACACAGCCCACCCGAAAAGATAACCCACTCCGTGTGTGGCCCAATACTTGTACTTGGGCTACGCCCAAAGGACCTACGGCCCATGACGAGGACGGCGCCGTATTCTTCTCTCTTTTTCCCTGTCTTTTCTCCGATGGGCAACGAAAACCCGCCCGATTCTGGTTCTTCTTCTTCCTCCATTCAGAAGCCTCTCTCGACTCCACTCCATTTTAGTTTCCTGGCTTGCAGCTCTCATTTTCAGCTTCATTCTTTGTCGACAAACCTTTGCGTATCGGTTTCAAAGCGGTTAGATTCTCCGCCGTACCCTTGGTTGTAAACTCGGTCGGCGAAGCACGAGAAGAAGAAGAAGAAGAACGAAGGAGTCGAGCGGCATCACTCAACCCTAGAGGTACAGTTTCTAATCACACTGTCTCTGTATTTGCTTTGTCGAGAACCTGGGCAAGTAGAGTTCTGTTTTGTGGTTTAGGAGTTTCGATTTCGAGAAGAAGCTGAGCTTGAGCTTGGACGAATGAATTGGAAATTGAGAGATTTGCCCTTGTGTGTTGCAGAGGATTGAATTTGGGGAAGAGTGAGTTTGGGGAGAGGATGGCGAGGGAGAGAGATCATGGAGTGGGAGAAGGTTCCGTTAAGAGGCAGAGAGTGGAAGAAGGTTCGTCTTCTGCTGGAGATATTGATAACCCTCTAGTCCCGTACAATGATGTGGACGAGGAGGAGGACAATGAGACGAGGGAGCAGAACAATGGCGGTATGGATGGAGACGAGGGGGGAGCTGTTGTTGATGATGACGGTGATGATGATGATGATGATGATGATGATGGTGAATATAATGAACAAGAGGCGAGCATTCAGAGGCAGAGGAAGCTACTGGAGCCTCGTGAGGACTGCCCTTATCTTGACACAGTTAATCGACAGGTAGAGGGATCTCTGATGTTTTTGTGGCGCTGTAAAATGTGCTCTTTGGTTTTTCGGTCTTGTATGCTAAAGAAGTTTTAATGGTAGGTGTCATTCTACCTATGTTTTGCAGGTGCTGGATTTCGATTTTGAGAAGTTTTGTTCTGTCTCTTTATCGAATCTGAATGTTTATGCGTGCTTGGTGTGTGGGAAGTATTACCAAGGCAGAGGGAAGAAATCCCATGCTTATACTCATAGCCTTGAAGCAGGGCACCATGTGTATATCAATCTACAGACTGAGAAAGTGTACTGTCTTCCTGACGGATACGAAATCATTGACCCGTCTTTAGATGACATACGGCATGTCCTGAACCCGAGGTTTGTCTCTTTTTCAATAACTCTTTACTCTATCCTTGAAGGTTCTAATGCTTTGCATGAAGCCTTTTTCTGAAATTTATGCAATAATAGGTGGGTGAGGGGTGATACACATAGCTTCATGTTTCAGATTGTGATGCATGTAGGTTTACCAGGGAACAAGTTGCACAGTTGGACAAAAACAGAATGTGGTCTAGGGCTCTTGATGGGTCTGATTACCTTCCTGGAATGGTGTGCATTTCCTTCTCTATTCTTGCTCCATTTCCTGAATGTTCATGTGGGTATTTTGACTATTTTCCTTACGAAATGATGTATTTATCCATTTGGTTTAAGCTGTGTTTAACTGTGGCCTTGATCCTTGCATTACCAGGTGGGCCTCAATAACATACAGGGAACTGATTTCGTGAATGTTACGATCCAGTCTCTGATGAGGGTAACACCATTGAGAAATTTCTTTCTCATTCCTGAAAATTATCAGCACAATCGGTCCTCTCTTGTTCAGCGTTTTGGGGAGCTAACACGGAAGATATGGCATGCTAGAAACTTTAAGGGACAGGTACTGCATTAGTGATGATGATAAACTGATGGCGATCTTTATATTTCAGCTTCGTCATTCATATTTTTGAAATTCTGTGCAGGTGAGCCCTCATGAGTTCCTTCAAGCAGTTATGAAAGCTAGCAAGAAAAGGTTTCGCATAGGCCAACAGTCCGACCCTCTCGAGTTCATGGCATGGCTTCTCAATACACTTCATGCGGAACTTAAGACCTCCAAGAAGAATAATAGCATAATTTATGACTGCTTTCAGGTAAGAGGTTGCCATTATAATGCTATTTGTCTAATTGTCTTTTCCATTTTAGTACCGAATCTTATGTTTTAGCTGCTTTGGCTTGCAGGGAGAATTGGAGGTTATCAAAGAGATTCCTAAGAAAGCTATCACTGAAAAGAAAGAAAGTGGTGGTGGAATTACTGATGGCGAGACAGAACGTGGTGATGCTCTCACGGAAAAGTCCAGAATGCCATTTTTGATGCTCGGGCTGGATTTGCCACCACCTCCTTTGTTTAAGGATGTGATGGAGAAAAATATTATTCCACAGGTACGTGACAATTCTCTATGTCCTAATTTTAGGTTTGTAATATCGTCTGATGGCTCTCTCTTTCTCTAGCATTTTCCTTACTAGTGCCTAATAGATCTCTAATATGTTACTATATGTAAGGTCAGTTCTTTTGTTGCTTTAAGTGGTCTATGTGACTATGTTCACAATCTAAAGTTTAAATGTCATGTAAAATGTCTTGGTCTTTGTGGCTATCGTTTTACTTGGTAATTATTGAGGCATCTACTGACCTAGGTAATGTTGTTGGCAATAACTTGCTGGATGTTGGTTGTTGCCAATTTACTCCTCAATCTACTGTCACTAGAACAATAGCCGTTTTGCAGCTATGGTAGTTGTATGGTAGATTTATCACCTGAAGGCAGCATTCGTGAAATCCTTTTTGTTGGAATTGGTAGTGGGATTGTGGTTTAAGTTACTTCACCTCATTTGTAAAGAGAACGGCTGAACTCATATCACAAGTCATTGACATTGCATAGCTATTATCTGTGTACTGTTGGTTTCGGCCATTTTTTATGCCAATTTCACACATCATGCAAAGATTTTATAGTTCTTTTTATGCTTTATGGACTGGTTGAATCTTTCTATGAGCAATACTGCCTGCCAATGCAGATCCTAGGTTTCTTCGCTTTAGTTGTTCCTTCGTTATTTGTTTTGCTACACTCTTCTCACTACTGTTGTTTTAGGTTCCTTTGTTCAACATACTGAAGAAATTCGATGGAGAAACTGTCACCGAAGTAGTCCGACCTCACATTGCCCGGATGAAATATCGAGTGACCAGATTGCCCCGATATATAATCCTCCACATGCAACGGTTTAAGAAGAACAACTTCTTCATTGAGAAGAACCCAACAATAGGTTAGTTTTCATCACAAGCCAGGAATTAGAGCATTTGAGTATCATCACCCCAAAGAGCTTCTGGTGCTTAAATTAAATATACACACATAAATTGGTGTTGCAGTCAATTTTCCTGTGAAGAACTTGGAACTGAAAGACTATATTCCTCTGCCAACTCCCAAGGAGAACGAGAAATTGCGGTCCAAGTACGACTTGATAGCCAACATTGTTCACGATGGCAAACCGAAAGAGGGTGTGTACAGAGTGTTTGTGCAACGGAAGTCCGAAGAGCTATGGTAAATCACTTAATCCTCGTCCCCCCCTATTGATCTTTCAAAGCTCTACTATGGCTAACGAAGAAGTCCCTCGTACAGGTACGAGATGCAGGATCTGCACGTCTCAGAAACTCTTCCTCAGATGGTTGCACTCTCCGAGGCGTATCTCCAGATATACGAGCAGCATCAGTAGCAGGATCCACCACATTCAAGGCAGTAGTAGCACTCACTACATCCCCTCTTTTAACTTTGGATATACGACGTGAAATCTGAACCCGATTCGGAGCAAAATCCAGCTAGATGGATGTTAAGAGGTTAATTGTTGTATTGATCGATGTGACGAGGGTTATTTCATAGTGATCAAAATTTTGGAGGGTAGGGAAGTTCTTCCTCTGATGTATTAACTATCCTAGTTGGATGCTTGAAAATGAACAGAGAATTTGCATCAAGGCATTAGCCTTTGTCGAATACTTGTTTGGGCTGGGCTCAATTGGGCTCCGCTTACCCAATCCAATAAATTTGTCCAGGCCCATAAAATAAAAACTGATTTTTGATGCTAAAACGGAAAAGGAATTCTAAATAAAATAGGAAAAGGATTTCTAATCTTTAAAAATATTTTAAAATCGGAAACTCCCGCGACAAATTCTCTTGCTTGCCGGACGGGAGAGGTGAAGAAGAACGAGAGCGGTATCACCCAACCCAAGGTATCGTTTCTAATCTCTCTCTCTCTTTACTTGCTTCTCGAGAATCATAGTAGGGAAAACCTGAGGTTAGGGCAGCCGATTGGAAATTGGATGGGTGTTGCGAAGTCGTATCGATTGAGGGGGAACAATCTTTCTTATGTATTCCCTGCTGGTTATGCAGGGATTGGTTTTCGGGAAGAGAAGTGTTGGGAGAGACGATGGTGACGAAGAGAGAAGAGATTGATAGGAGGGTGGTGGATGGAGAAAGTTCCATTAAGAGGCAGAAACTGGAGGGAGCTGTTCTTGTTGTTGATGACGATCAACAAGGGTCTAGTTCTCAAAGGCGGAGGGGGCAACTGGAGCCTCGTGGAGACTGCCCTTATCTCGATACCGTGAATCGCCAGGTAAAATTAGCTCTGATGTTTGTGGTAGAAGTTATGCGAATTGGCTCGATAACGAACCAAGTGGAACTTTTTGTTTCTTGCAGGTGCTGGATTTCGACTTTGAGAAGAAATGCTCGGTCTCTTTGGAAAAATTGGATGTTTATGCATGTCTGGTGTGTGGGAAGTATTACCAAGGAAGAAGGAAGAATACCCATGCTTATACACATAGTCTCGAAGAAGATCACCATGTCTATATCAATCTAAAGACTGAGAAAGTGTACTGTCTTCCTGATGGATATGAAATTGATGATCCGTCTTTGGATGACATACGGCATGTTCTGAACCCAAGGTCTGTTTCTGTTCTCCTTACTGCCTATATTCGGTCGTTCCTGTATAGATTGATGGTGGGGAGACACTCAGCTTCATGTTTGGACTCTATCCAGGTTTACCAGGGAACAAGTTGCACAGCTGGACTTAAACAGTCGATGGTCGAGGGCGCTGGACGGATCTGATTACCTTCCAGGAATGGTTTGCTTGTATTGTTTCAATAATGTTAATGTGGTTGTCTTTCCAAGCTAGTAATTTTATCTACAGGCTAGGAATGGTAACATGAAATGATATGTTTCTATCCTTTAGATTTAAGCTGTGATTTAACTGTGGCCTTGGTTCTTATGCTATCAGGTTGGCCTCAATAAGCTTCAGGGAACTGATTTCGTGAATGTTACAATTCAGTCTCTAATGACGGTAACACCCTTCAGGAATTTTTTCCTCATTCCTGAAAATTATAAGCACTGTCAGTCCTCTCTTGTTCACCGCTTTGGAGAGTTAACAAGGAGGATGTGGCACGCTCGAAACTTTAAGGGACAGGTACAGACAGCCTTAGTGATAACGTTACTTAGGGGCATTGTTGGTCTTTGAATGTCAGCTTCCATCATTCATGTTCTGAAATTCTGTGCAGGTGAGCCCTCATGAGTTTCTTCAAGCAGTTATGGAAGTCAGCGAGAAAAGGTTTTGCATAGGCCAACAGTCTGACCCTCTGGAGTTCATGGAATGGCTTCTCAAAACACTTCATGCTGCACTTAGAACTTCAAAGAGGGATAGTAGCATAATATATGACTACTTTCAGGTGAGAAGCTGTGGTTGTGATCTAATAACTCACTTTTTCCCGTTCCCCACCTGTTTGGCTGCTGTTACTTGTGAGCTTAATCTGATTTCATTGCTGCTTCCGCTTGGCAGGGAGAATTAGAGGTTATCAAAGTGATAGATAGTGAGACAGGAGGAGATGATGTTCTAATGGAAAAATCCAGAATGCCATTCATGGTGCTGGGTCTGGATTTGCCACCACCTCCTCTGTTTAAGGATGTGATGGACAAAAGTATTATTCCCCAGGTATGTGCTTTATTCTTTATGCCCTAAACTTTAGGTCTCTCTCTCTCTAGGATGCCACCCGTCTAGTGCTCAGAGTTATTGCTCGAATAGTTTCCCTTACTTGAGATAGCTTCTTGGCTTAGGTTCCTTTGTTCAACATACTGAAGAAATTCGACGGGAAGACTGCCACTGAAGTAGGAAGGCCTCACATTGCCCAGATGAAATATCGGGTAACCAAGTTGCCAAAGTATCTAATCCTTCACATGCAGCGGTTTAAGGAGAACAACTTCTTCATTGAGAAGAACCCTACTATAGGTTAGTTTCATGTATTCAATTCAATTATGAGTCATGGTTTATCTTAAGCTCTGAAAGAGACCTCCTTGTGCTTATATGTCTAATGAACTGGTGCTGCAGTCAACTTTCCTGTGAAGAACTTGGAGCTGAAGGACTATATTCCTCTACCGACACCTGGGGAGAACAATAAATCGCGCTCAAAGTACGATTTGATAGCTAATGTAGTCCATGATGGCAAACCAAAAGAGGGTTCCTACAGAGTCTTTGTCCACCGGAAGTCCGATGAGCTATGGTAATAACATTATCCTGATCCTATAGAGTCTCTCTTTCACTACTATGCTACTAAGTACTAAGCTCAAGTCTAAGTCTCTGATATGGAATTTCTTTCTTTCCAGGTACGAGTTGCAGGATCTACACATCTCCGAGACGCTCCCTCAGATGGTTGCACTCTCTGAGGCATATCTGCAGATATACGAGCAACATCAGTAGCAGGCTAGCAGCTTCCTCCTTCACCAGTGGCCCTCATTCTCATTACTTCGATAGATAATTGAATCAAGAGCTTGCTTTGCTGGTTTATTTTTGGGATTATAGTTGTGCTATCTGAACTAGCTATTATCGCATTTAGGATTTTGGCCTATCAATTAGCATCAGGATAAATAAGACTCAAAAGTTTTCTCACTATTCTTCAATCTATGATTTGAGTCGCAATGAAGAATTCTCAATCTTGTGAAACTGCACAATTCACTTGCTCAAAATCACCATATCTAGTGTACTTACACAATCTATCCACTACCCTTTAGACTTTAGAGTCTCCAAACATGAGATCGTTTATTTTGTAGACCGGAATATCAGAAATCGGCTTGATTGCCTCCTGCTGCTGCTGATCCCCTGGTGCTGCCAACTTGACATCTTCGGCAGCTTCCCTGGTGAACTCATCAAACACCATGGTCATCGAAGTTGTGGAAGGCGTCGAGATGAAGTTGAGACCGATGTAGAAAGCCAATCCCAACACAATTGCCACCATACAGTAAGTTGGCACAGCTAGTGCCCAGTACCTGAACCAAAATACCACAGAATCTCAATAACCCTCCAACAACAACCCTGTTCAGTTCGTCAGCTAAAATTTGAACGCCATAGTTCACCTGTTGGGGTAGTAAGAGATCCCAATGGAGTGGAGCCAGGGTTCAGGGACATAAGCCCACGCCAGGAAGATGACTGCATCATCACAATGTTCGCCATGGATGAATACGATCAGCTCAAACTAAAAACGGCGAAAACAGAGTGAGAGAGAGCGAGATGGAAACCTGTAGCAACAATGGTGGTGATGGAGCCTACAAAGCCGTAAACTTCTGAAGGTTTTGGACCGGAGACTGATGAAGTGTGGCGGCTGCTGCTCCTGGAAGTGTGGTGATGGAGGAAATCAGACGATCCTCCCCTTGTTGTTGTTGTCCTCTTCCGGTTCTTCGTCTTTGAGAAGCTCAGGACTCTCCTTGGACTGTTCACTGAGTAGCCATCGTCTAATTCCTCCATGACTCGGGAATCGAATTTGCAGAATAAGGAAACCCAAACCTTCAAACGCAAGCTGCAGTGAATTCTTTCTCTACGGCGGAATTGGATTGAGCTAGTGATTACTTTAGGAATCTAGAAATGAAAAGAGATGCTCTGTTTTTTATGCCCACTGTGAACTCCACCCATAAACAACAAGAAATCACCCATTACCGCTTAACGACCATAAAGATGCAAGCTTTCCCGGATGGCAATGCTAGTTCTGAGAATCATCGAAATCAAAACGGAAAACCCAAAATCAAGAGATGGTTCAAAAAAATTTCAATTCGTATCGGAGGTTAAGAAAGAAGTGGGGAAACTTACCGTCGGCAGGCTGTGAGAGGATTAGGGCGTCGGACGATAAGGCTGGAAGAACGGGTGAAGCTGGCGGTTAGGGATCGAAGATTGCTTGCAAATGCAATCACTGGCGGATCGGGAAAAATGGTAAAGTTCCAAATTTTGGAGAAGAAATCTCGTTGTCGTTCTCCAGCTAGAGCTGTGAAGTGTGAACGCTGTTGGAAATGGGATATTACATGATTGGCCACTAAACTTTCTTGTAGCTAACAATTTAGTCATTGAATTCTTATTTTTAATATACTTATCACCGGGATTTTAGTAACTTACATAAGAGTCACGTCATCTTTCTTTGTCCGAGTAGAAAACCGATTGTAGAAGTGGAGGCCGTGTTTTGTGGCTGAAGCAAGCAAGTACTCTTCTCCATTCGTATGACAATTGTCAGATTGCAATACTTTGAGCTTCATAATTCATGGGCATATGTGCCCGAACCAAATTACCGTAGCAAAATCTAGACTGTGCTATTATAATCCAGATACAATGTAGAGTTCGTGTTTAATTTTAAGCTGAGGAAACTCTAGTCCTTCGATCCTATACATGCCCCTGTGCTATCAAGGTAGCGATAAACTGGTTCAATGTGATTCGTAACAAGCTATATATCGAGTAGGTAATTAATTTGATAGCAACTACAAACATAATGATCACATGGGTTCCGATCACATGCTTAACTGATTCATATACTATGGAATTGATATTATGTAGGGAGAGATGAGAAAAGAATGGAAAAGAATTTGGCATGATGTTGAACAGAATTGATTGTTCGTTAGTGTGTAAGAGTGCAAGGCCAGTGGAGTACTGCAAGAGGCTGCTGGAAACTTGATCAAATAATTAAGTCTGGACAATGAATCTGTTGTAGGGTCGAAAGAGCACATGGCCATGCATAGACACAAATGGCAGGAGTTGTTGGAGTGATCATTTTATCTCACAATTAATTGTCTGTGCTCAACAAATATTAAGCCAGGACGGGACACATATGGATAACATGCTGCCATCCTCCTTCTACCTACGATTTCTATCATGGAGAAAGAGCAAGAGAGGTATAGGAAAACCAGCACGGCACTGCAAAAATGTGGGTATTGCGTTTGGCAGTAAAGGATCGAATGTCGACCCTTTTATTTATCTGCAAAGAGAGTAAAATCCTAGGCTGGCAACGATAGTTACACATAACCAAACATCTTGTTTGCATTCTTGTCAAACTCCACTATATATATAATGGGGGTATATATAGTGGAGTTTGACAAGAATGCAAACAAGATGTTTGGTTATGTGTAACTATCGTTGCCAGCCTAGGATTTTACTCTCTCTGCAGATAAATAAAAGGGTCGACATTCGATCCTTTACTGCCAAACGCAATACCCACATTTTTGCAGTGCCATGATATGACAAACATGATCAGCTTTTTTTTTTCTCTCCTAAACATTCATCAAAGAAGCTACAAAATGTGCCACTAACTAATCTCACTGTTCAAGGAAATCACTGGAGCAGGCAGTGTCAACAGCTACCTGCATTTGCTTTTGTTAAGGGAACATTAGGACCTAACAGTTCCTTCACTGCATCTCTCATTGTGGGTCTCTTGTTGGGATCTTTCTCTGTACATCTCAGAGCAACCATGACCACTCTCGCTACTTGCTCCGTCACGCTTGAATCGAGGAACAGTTCTTGATCTGCATCAGCAAGCCTGGGATCAGCTATGGTCTTTACGTCATGGTCGGCATCCCAAGTGGATCGAACCCATGTCACGATGTCGATTCCTTCTGAAAAAGATGGATCCACGGCCTCCTTCCCTGTGATCAGTTCGAGCAGCACGACCCCGTAGCTGTAAACATCTGATGCCTTGTTCTTGCTCGTTGCAAATGCCATTTCTGTACAGGGATAATAGGACACAGATAAAGTAAGAGGTGCCAGATGGACATGTTGATTCTGGTTAGAGCTAGGGTGCTTTGATGTGGGTTGGAAGGATTGCTGAGTCGTTGATCAATATGTGCATGGCGTGGTATATAGCAAGAGTGAAAAGTTTGATTACCTGGAGCCATGTATCCTATGGTTCCATCAACCATCATCGACTGTGTCGAGACCCCAGACGAGTGATCGAGGAGCTTTGCTATGCCGAAATCAGAAATGTGAGGCTCCATGTCGGAATCCAGAAGAATATTCTGTGGCTTGATATCACAATGTACTATTGGAGGGTTGCAGTCATTATGCAGGTACTCCAAAGCATGAGCAGTTCCAAGGGCTATCCTAAACCTCACAGCCCATTCTATAGTTTCTTCGAAGTTGCCATGAAGAACATCATGAAGGCTCCCATTCTCCATGTAATTGTAGAGAAGCAGCCCATAGTCCTTCCTGAACCAGAAATCTTCCAGCTTGATGAGATTCCTATGCCGAATCTTGCCAATTGTCTTGATCTCTCTCATCATGCTTCTGCTCTCGCCTCTATGGCCTGCAAAGTTGACTTTCTTCACGGCAAAGATCTCCCCATTGTCCATTGGAACTTTGTACACAGTTCCATGACCTCCCCTTCCTATAATATGCTTCTCATTCAGATCCTCAGTAGCTTCCATAACCTTTTTGAGAAGCAACGGTAGGCCCTCCAGCCCGGCAGCAGCCATCTCATGGTACCTCTTGGGTCTCCACGCGATGATCAAACAGAGCAGTCCAAGAAGCAAAAAAACAACCACCGTAGTGGCAAGTGATATGGCTGCAACTTCCACTATGGTAAGCCCTCTCCTCTTGCTTTGACATGGCTTGAAACCAGTGTTCGAAGTGCAAACCTCGTCGGTCTGGTTCCCACGACAATCGATGCATAGACTCGGGTTGCCCACAGAATGCAGATGGAGATGAGACGAGGAAGCGAGATAAAGTCTCGGGTATTGGACCTGACAGTAGGTTGTATGAGACATTGATGAGGAGGAGCGTTTGGATGTTTTCCATAGGCTCTAAAGAACCTGTTAGCTTGTTGTTTGCTATGTCCAGCTGTTCCAGCATGCTCAGCTTTCCTAGTGATGATGGAATCAAACCGGTTAACCCATTGCTGCTGAGATTAGTCCATACCGAAGATTCTGCAGAGATCCAAGTGAGGAAGGAATCTCTCCTCCTAAGCAATTTCCACCAAGGTCCAACTCTGAGAGCTCCACAAGGCTTGATAAGAATGATGGAATCCCACCGGTGAACCGGTTCTCACTCAAGACCAATGTTGCCAGATTCGTCCAGTTTCTCAAAGCGGTTGGAATAGAACCGGCTAGGGAGTTGAACCCCACATAAAATTTCTCCAACTGGTAACAATTTGAAAGCTCAGATGGTAATGAACCTTCCAACTGGTTGTGTGAAAGATCCAGAGTGTTAAGCTTAACAAGATCTCCAATCTCACTTGGGATGGACCCTGTCAGCTTATTCATGGAAAGATAGAGAAATGTTAGGTCACCACAGTGCCTTAGGCTCCAAGGAAGAGACCCATTGATGTCATTTCCGCTGATGTCCACATGTGAAAGGCTCGAGTTTTCTGCAAACTCCGGAAGAGGTCCCGAGAGGTGGTTCTGACTAAGGATCATTCTCCGTAAAGTTGAGCACTGGCCAACATCTGAAGGGACACTGCCCTTAAGCTGATTCTTACCCATGTTGAGAACTCTGAGCTGCTTCCCAAAGCAAAGATTTGGCGGAATATCACCGGTGAACTGATTACTTGTGAAGTCCAACTGCAACAAGCTACTGTTGATCCCCAAACTCTGTGGTATCACACCAGAGAACAGATTCTCATACAAAGACAGGTTCTTCAGTTGCTGGAGCTCAGTCATCTCAACAGGTAGTTCACCAGAAAGACGGTTCTGATACACTAGAATGAACTCGAGGCTCGGATTTTTCCAAATGGTGATGGGAATCTCGCCAGTCAGATTGTTGTTGAACAATTCAAGGTCAAGCAGATGCGGTAGCAACCCAATCTCTCCCGGTATCTCCCCCTCGAGCTGGTTCGAGTAAAGCATCAATCTTGTCAATGACTTGCAGTTCCCTAATTCAGAAGGAATCTTCCCAGACAACTGATTCTCGGAAAGATCAAGATGGGAGAGATTGTCCAGAAGGCCCAATGATGAAGGAATGCTGCCTTTCAAATTACAATGGACAATGAACAGTGTATTTAAGTTACTGCAGTTTCCTAAATCCTCTGGAATCCCTCCACTAAACGGATTATAAGATAAGTCCAAACATCTCAGATTCTTCACATTTCCAAACCCTGAAGGAATTCTACCCTCCAAACTGTTATTAGCAGCAGAGAATTTAACAAGTTCTCTAAGATTAGCTAAGCTGCCAGGCAAGGAACCAATTAACTGGTTACATTGCAAGTAAAGAACCTGCAATTTGCTGCAATTCCCTATAGACTCAGGAATTGAACCAGAAAAAGCATTCCCATACAACCAAAGCTCAATAATCTCATTCAACTTACCAACACTCTCCGGAATCGAACCATTGAACGCATTCTCATGCAGATATCCATATTGCAGCAGAGGCATACTCTGAAACACTGACTCGGGAATTTCACCACTCAGTGAGTTGGAGAACAAGTTCAATGATTTCACTCTTCTCAAGTTTCGGAAGCTTCCTGGGATTCTGCCAGTAACCCCATTGTTAGCCAAATTGAGATACTCGAGGCCAGCACAGTTCCCCAGGAGCCAGGGGATTTCGCCGGAGAATTCGTTGGAGCTCAAATCCAGGGTGGCCAGCCGAGAAAGCCTTCCAATTTCAGGGCCCAATTCGCCGGATATCGCGTAGTTTGAGAGATTGAGGGAGATTACACGGCGAGTGAGGTTGTGGCATTCGACGCCGGCCCATGAACATGGAGTTCCGTCGGAGGCGTTCCATGTGGAGACAATGGGTTGAGGAAGGGACGAGCTCTCCCAGCGGTTTAACAGGGATAAAAGAGCCAACCCATCTTCGCTCAAACCGGAAACCAGATCTTCCGAGCAAACCCAGAAACAGAGCAACGCCAACAAGCAAGTAGAGGCGGGAAAATTCATCTCTGGCGCCTAAATTGGAGTGAAATTTTTGTGGGTTACTTCACTCACCCAGTTGGGATGGCCATGGAATGAAGAAGAAGAAGAGTGAGAGTGCCAGGCGAAGAGAGAGAGAGGGAGAGGGAAATGGGGAAGAAGACGAAGTGGTGGTTGTGAGAATGTGGGGAAAGCATCAATGCATGGGGACGGAAGATCAGTACTGGCTAGCAAAGCAACTGAGTCCGTTTATTTCAGTGTAAATTGTGAAAAGTTGAACAGCTACTTGCCTACTTTCAGCCCCCATTTTCGTTTCACATTCAAGCTTTCCAGAGCCAGCTTCCCACCGAACTGCCACGTTTCGCTCTCCTAATAATCCCCCATTTCACAGAAAAGGGAAGTTTACCGCGTAAAATAGGTCCGAAACATTTATGGGCCGAATAATAAGCTCTCCTAATATAAATAGTTTATGGGCTAAGAATCTTTATGGGCCGAAAGGGCCTTGTTTTGATATAGAACCTTACAAATTTCGTGGAACTCTATGCGGCTGGATCGGAGATGCAGCTCTTTTTTTAACAAAAGATAGTTTCGTATTGATTAGTAAAAAATCGAACAGATTACACTGTGATATATAATCAGAAAAGAAAATCAAAAGAGCAACACCTAATTGGAACAAAAACGGATTTTTCTAGCCACCAAATGTGCCTGCAGCTAATTATAAGGAAATAAAATCATAAAATAAGTATAAAGTTAGAACTAACATCAGTCGTTTTCTATCTCTTGTTTAGATACGATCCAACTAACATAAGTCGTTTTCTATCTCTTGTTAGAATTTCATGAATATTAATCACCGCATATCATTATTGTCATCATCATTGTATCTCTTGCTTGCCACCAAGTACCCCGAAAACTCGGTAGCCGATGAGAACCAATCAGAATCAGACACGCGTTGACAATCAACGAGCCTCCATGTGTGACTCGCCACGACGTCGTGTGACATGGCCCGAGACTTGTGGGTCCCTTTGGCCTTGTCCTTGGACTTGGTACAAGGATGAATGTGACACTCCTCGCTCCGTGGCACCTTATATTTGCCAATTGCCGGTGAACTTGGAGTGGTTGGTGGGCTTGCGGGAGACCTTGGTGAAGACCATATTTGGTGGGCTTGCCTTGGTTGGACAATGGATTGGACGCGATGTGGGCCTTTGCTCTTTTCCATTTGATTTGGGCTTGTCTTTTTGTTTTGTCGTGTGATCATTTTGACTTGTTTTGCTTGACTCCATATACTCTCGATTGTTTTGACAAGTAGTATAATCTTCACTCCTCTCTAGTCATGTTCTTGATGTATTATGCCTAGCTGTAATACGATATTTAGTCGAATTACTTGTAACTTAAATCCTAGCACACCATATTTTAATCCTAATGTAATGATCATGAAGCGGAGTCTCCATTTCTTGCATAATTTAACTTCAATCGATCTGTTATGTTTTTCCCTCTATGGCGTGTATTTAGATAGAGAACCCATTGATTATCCCAAATTCGTACCCTCTGAATCAAAATATCGAATTTCTCATAGGTTAACATAAGTATTATAATACCCCTCTGGTTATGCACCATTCTCATTCCTAATTTGAGCATTATTCATTCAAGGCATTGATATGAAAAGAAATCAAACCTCATAAATAGAATTCCATAGGAATAGAACATCTCATTTCGCATGATACTAAGAGTACAATCCCAACAGAATCTCTTCCTTAGACAAGCATGAATCGAATGTTAATAGATAACTAATTGGTCGGATATATTAAGGAGCAAATTATAATTAAAATTCCTCAATTAGGAAAAGAACACATAAAATAGGCATTAGAGAGTTGAGAATACTTCAAACTTCTCTCAAGTGAATATTATATTAATTTTGCAAATGATACAAGCACAACCAATAACGAACTGCAGTATCTATGCAATTGTTTTATTCTTAGTCAATTTGCCACCCACACGATGGGAAACAATACTCAATGAAGCCAACAATATTACCAAACCTTTGGAACGGTACGACATTCATATTCTACCTTCCTTAGAGTAGGCAACAAGACAAGCCAAAATCCGGTGACCGACACGAACCCAAGGGTCAACCAAGTGGCGACCGATGGTCCGACCGGTTCCCATCTCGTGGCCCAATAAGGCATTGCCGACCCACTCATAGCATACTCGATCGCCATGCAAACTCCTTGCAACACGAAAAACAAAGCCAAGTCCCAAGTGGGTCTCGCACCACAAGTGATGTAGTAGAACATGAGCTCGTGCATGAGCCCGGACACCATCAAGGTCGCAATCACTGCGACCACTCTGGCTGCTAGAGGAGAAATCCCGATCATGGTCAGACCATTTCGAACGGGATCGTAGATGGCTTGTCTAAGTAAGTCCGAGGCCAGACGGTTCCACCTCCTCCCCCAGAATTCCTGTAGAGAACTCGAATTTTCTGGATGGTCCGATAACTGAACCATCTCGTAGCGAGCCAGCACAGCACGAGCCAATCGAGTGGCGGAACTTGTGGAAGACCAATATATCAATGCAAGAATTATTAGTATGGGGACAAGAAATTGGAACCATATGGTGGTGCTAAGGGTGAATAGGCACCATAGTATTGAGAGTAACCAAACCCCAATTGTCACTAAACCATTTGAAGTGTGTACATGATCATCATGTTGTGTGGCTTCCCGGAGCTTGATTGGGAGGATGGCTATGAGGGTAAAGTCAATAAATCTTGTGGTGGCATCAAATAGAGGGCCTTGGTCGAAGCAAAGGAGGATGAGCTTGAAGGAAGTGATCCATGTGATAAGAAAAGATGAAAGTGATCTTAGAGCAATAGAAGAGAAGATCCATGGGAAGATGGAGAGGATGTAAAATACAGGAAGAAGGAATAGTAGTCTTGTGATGCCTTTGGGCAAAAGAGGGACCAAGAAGCAGCAATACCCAAATGAAGCTACTAAAAGAAGAGACACCAAAATAAGACCATTATGAAACTCCATGGCTATCTTTTCTTCCTTGCTTTTATTTTTTTTGGGTTTGGTCTAATTTGAAATGGCTTCCTTTTTTCTTATGTGCTTTGCAAATTGCCTTCAAATAGTCTCATATACATGGGAAAGTATTGGAGATAGCTAGAGAAAAGAAAAGTATAATGCAATGGACTTCCAAGTAGGGCATTGTTATCCCTCTCTCAATGCATTTGTGTGTTCCATTGGGACATTGGTTGCTAATTTTGAATATATTTTGTAGATATTCTATGACAATTTTTTTTTTGTATTACTCCTCTTTCGATGACGATAGACATCGTCATGTGGTTGTAACCTATAAATTAGATTATCGATCGATATGAAACCAGAATAGAACTTACAAGTGATGTCCAATGCTAGTCATCCGATTTTGACAAAAAAATCATGTGCATAACTCCCGTTTTGTCATGGACGGTATGATTTTTTTTATCATAGTGAGAATCAAATCATTCATAATGATTAATGAATGAGGTTAATTAAGCAGATTAGGATTATGCACCTAATTCACTACCCAATTTACCTTATTGAAGTTACATGTAGTAGTATAGTTGTCAAACACTGATATGTTGGCCGATACAGCCCGGTTCAACCGCACAAAAACTAATTGAAAGCACAACCGATATGAAGTGATGTCAAATCCGCAACAATTCATGTGGTTTCACACTTATTCCTATACTTTTGTCAAAACTGACATATAAAACTGATTGTAACCCGATCGAATCATACCACTTGCTGAATTGGCGTAACGATGTAAACCGGTTTGACTATAAGCAATTTCGTGAAGATATCGAGACAAACATAAAAGCATTGAGCAACCCAAGGCATGCATGCACACCGGCCGGCGAAGGAACCAAATTTAATGTCCTTTCATTAACTCCCACCATAAAGACTCTCTCTATTTAAAAACCCCATCGGGTGTTCTATTTCCCTCTTGTATTTTTCCAACCATGAACAGAACGGTGGCGCTGCGGCGGCGGATGATGGAGGCTGCGGCGGTGCTGGTCATCATGATGCTGCTGGTGACTCCCACATCTCCGACGTGCCACCCCTCGCCGCCGTCTCACCGGCCGAGCCCCAGCCCCCATCGCGGCGGCGGCGCGTGCAAGCAGTGCGTAGTGGAGCAGCTTCAGTACGGGTGCCCGAAATGCACTCCGATCCTCCGCTGCATGGCGCGGTGCTTGTGGGGCGGCGCCGCCAAGTCGAAGTGCGTCGAGAAGTGCGACTGCGGCGGCGGGAAGCCAACACTCGCGGATTGCAGAGGTTGCATGTCTAGGTGCAAATGCAGCTGTTTGTGATTTGTTGATCATCATTAATTAGCTAGTGTGTGGCTTGGTTTATGATTAGTGTTGTTGATTATCGTCACTAATTAGTAGATTAATGGGTTTTTATATGATAATGTTGGAGTATATGGGGTAATGTTGGGTTTGAGTTTTGGCTAATGTCTTATCGACTGTTCTGTTTCTTAAATTCGTAGTAGCGAAGTTTAGATGTAATTTATGCTATAGTGTCGTAATAACGAGTCTGCATCTATGAGAATGGACGATTCAAGCTTACAATCATGTCAATTCTCTACACATTGTTTGGTCAGAGATGCATCTATAAGGTAATGGCAACAATTTACAGAACCCTCAAAAGGAGGGAAACAACGAAGATGTATTAAGTACAAATCCAGAGAGACAATCAGTTTTACTTGGGGAAAATTCGAAGTCAAACCTTCCATTCCCAACTAGCTAGTATTGACCAAAGCAAACATCTTTACGCTTCAGTGGCTTCTTTCTCTCTTCCACACCCTCAGCTGAAATGTTATGAAGCAGCCTACAAGACTGCTTCTTGATCAATTCCGAAGTGGAAGGGTAATGCCGCGCCACGAAGGAGAACCGGTCGCTGTACTGCTCGACTCCTTCCACCAGCAGCTGCCAAACCAGTGCTCCACCGCCGGCTCCCTGCTTCTTGGCAGACTCGTAAATCTTGTCGTACACGATTTCGAGCAATAAATCTCTAGCATTTCTAGCTCCTTCCTTGTCATGATCACTCACATTCCAAGCTGAGCCCACCTCGGTGAAGAGGACTGGTTTCTTCAGCAGATGTTCCCCGTCGCTTATGTGGGAATCCACCCACCGGGACAGGTACTTGGCCTTTGTTTCCAAGTCTGCATCTTGTATCCTGCAGTATGTGGAATTTGGAAAAGAGTCTCTTCATTTGTCAAACAGTATGAATGTAGTGAGGAAGTGTGTGTTAGTGATGGATTTACAGACCAGCTATCTGGGTAGGAATGAACCGAAGCGAAATCAATGCTGTCTATTGCTGAGTTCTGTATGAAATCCGACCCGAGGGATGCTGCCCATTCCCCGGGGTTCACTTCCGACTTGTTGGTGCAGTTCAAGCCATAGAATCCCTCGAGACCAACGGTCACTAGGTGCCTTCGGTCCAAGCTTTTGAGGTATGCAGTCATCTCACTGATCCAAGCCTTTAGTTAAAAAGGAAGCAGCAGTCAAACGAGTATCAAACTCTGCTTCAAGTATCTGGCTAGAGGAATGGTAAAGGTGATTTCACAGGCAGATCCAGAACCAAAGTGCTAACATTCACCTGAAGAGCAGGGGCACATGAACTCGAAGAGCATCTCGGCTCGTTAATGAGCTCCCAAGCGAATATGGCTGGTTCATCAGAGTACTTGACCCCGCTTAAAGAGTTCTTCCGAGTCACAATAGCCTACAGAGAAGCATACTACGGAGGATTAACAAGTTGTGGATCGAAAACACTATAATCAGATCCCTGGGTGCAGCACCAAGTGATGCAAAGAGCAATGCCAACTCTCACCTTGATGTAGGCTTTGTAGTATTCTTTAATGGCCGGGTTCGAGAAGAAGGAATCTTCGCCAGAAGAGACATTGATCCCAGCTTGTTGCCCCCATCTCACATACTGATCTTTCCCACCAAATGCATCTAGATTGTTCACTAGACTGAGGATCAACCTTATGCCATGCCTCCTTGCCTCAACTATCACATAGTCCAACCCCTGACAAAATTCATTCATACAATCAAATCAGAAATCCCTAGGATCGATCAATAGCTCCACAGGTTCCCAATTCAAATTCCAAGTTCCCTTCTTCCCTAAACAAAATCCCTAGATCGCATGCCAGATATTCAACTAGTAATAAGCAAAATTGGAAGGGAAAGAGGGCAAAATTCGAAAACTTGAGACCAACCCGAAAGACCCTTTGGTTGAACACGCCGGGGGATATCTGGAGCGTGTTGGGACCGTCGCCGTCGCTGAAAGCCCAAGTCCGGCAAACGGTCAGCCCCAATTCAGCGCCGGATTTAAACACTCTGGAGACCCTGGACCGGGACGATCTCCATATGCTCTCCTGCAGCAGCCAATAAGAGTTCCACCCGTTGACATAGAAGTACTCAGTAGCCGATCCTCGACCCTTTTTGTCGTCGCCATTGACGATGACGAAGTGGGTGGAGCTGGTGGAGACGAAACCCATCTTCTGCTGCCACACCACGCCGGGAAATGCGGAATCGTCGTCGGCGAAGAAGCCGAAGTAGAGGAAGAAGCAAAGGATGAGGACCCCGAGGGGAGGGTAGAGCTTGCTGTGCATTTTGGTTTCTGTCGGCGCCGGCGGGAGTAACCAACAGAGTTTCCCGCGGCAGTTGGTGGAGGGAAGTCAGGTCAGCCGCGCGGTTTCGCTTTCGCTGTCTCCATTTCTCTTCCCCCTTTTCCTACTTTCATTTCTCTAATTATGGATTAATTGCATTATGGTAACCGAATATTATAGTTTGCAGCGAATGACCATTAAATATTTTTTTGTTAAGAAAAAAAAGAATGACCACTAAATAAAAGATTGTTACAAAATCGTTAGTTAGAGTTAGAGAAATAAAGATCATCTATTGTTCATATAAAATCAGAAACATATTTATTTTGGGAACCTAAAATCCAACCAGAAGAATCTCCTATCATAATCTAAACGAGCAGGCGACTTTAGTCGTATGAAACGATAAATTCCAATTAAACTATAGTTTCAACCAAAATACCCTTTTGTTAACTTTTCCGCTGTACCAAAGGTGTACCAAAAATATCAACAATAAATTTTTTGTGCTAAAACAATAGTTCAACCATTTAACGGTATAAAATGATTTCAACACTATTTCAACATGCTATCATTTGAGTTTAAACTTTAAACTCCATCGTTAATGGATTAGGAATAAGCAACAAAATTGGATGCCGATTAAAACGACGTCATTTGACAGCTACCAGTAGTTAAAGCCGCAAACGTAAAGGATTAGGAATAAGTTACCCCCTTAAAATAGAAGACAAGGGATTGGTTCTCTTCGATCGCGTTCTTCTCCGTCGGCGGCGTTATCTATATCTGTCAACCGCCGGCCATGCCCACCGCCGAGAACTGCAGGGATCCAGCTCTAATCGCACGCCCTCTTCCTTGCGCCACCAGAAAACGAAGGAGGATCGGTACCCCAAAAGGAAATCCCAACCGCCGTCGTCCTCCTCCTCCTGGCTCCATCAACGACCTGGGAGACGACGTCCTGGCCGCCATTCTGATTCGCCTCCCCGACCTGAGTTCCGCCTGCCGTTGCAAATCCGTGTGCAGGCGGTGGAGCTCGCTGATCTTCAGTCCCGGCTTCAATCGCCTCTTCGTTTCCCACCACCAGGGGAGCGAGCCTCCACCGCCGCCCCTGCTTCTTCCCTCGGACGACTTCTCAATCTCCATCCTCCTCACCTTTCTCCCCGTGCCTTACGAAATCCAAGCCTATTTCACGGTCTGGGATTCCTTCAAGGACTTGGTTCTATGTGGGTTCGTCCAGCCACCGGAACCCAACGGCGCCGAGGTGGGCAGGACGCTGTTCGTCTGCAATCCGTTCACGAAGCAATGGGTCGCCCTCCCTCTGGCTCCCGAAAGACCGAAAGGGTACTGCCAACCGATTGCGAGCCTAGTTTGCGAACCCCGTAAGTCTATTAATCTCGAATTAGATGATAATGGCCGGTCGTCAATTGCTTATTCCGAGTATAGGTTCCGCGTGGTGTGTATGTATGTCTTGCACCAGAGCATCAATCTGGACGTGTTTTGTTCCGAGTCACGAGAATGGACGAGCAAGGCTCTCGTCCTTGATGGCTTTCTCAGACTCAAGGATCCCTACGAAGTCGTCACGATAAAAGACGGTGAATGACGGCTCATCCTTCTAGATCTCAAATCTGAGCTTCCCTCTATGCCAAACAAGCAAACCAGTGCTGGAAAACCCAGCCCAGACCGAACACGCCGCCGCGATTGTTGCCTGCACCGCCGTTGTCCCTCCGCGTTCGACTGCCTCTCGACCCCCAAGAGATCAGTCGAGGCAAGCCTCCGTTGTTGTTGGTGTTGTTAAACCCGCCATCCATTTTTGGGTAGACCACCGGGGAGATCCCTTTCTCCCCCCATGGCGCCTGTGAACCGCCTCGTCGCGTACCCGCTGCCTGGCAGCCTCCAGATCGTCAACCCGACCGCTTCCTCCTCGGCCTCCGCCGCGCCCTGCTCGCCGACGGATCGGTCTTCGTCCGCTGCGGGCAACTCGAATCCCCTGCAAATTGCAGAGTGGCGGGCACCTCCCTCCCGTGGAAGATGATTTTGATTTAGTTTAGGGTTTGAATTTGGGGATTATGTGATTTTGGGATAATAAGTGGAAATTTCATAATTTTTATTTTAAATGAATTATAAAATTAAAATAATATTATTTAATGACATGGCATGCCACATCAGTGTTTTTTGCTTAGTCACTAACGGAATAGTGTTTGACCGTCAATATTAACGGTCAAAGAAAATTTCGGGCCAAATTTGTCCAATAGTTTCAAAAGTAGACCATAAATGTCTTATTTGAAAAATGGGGTCAAAACTGTCACTTACGCTAAACTTCGAGCCAAACTAAGGTATTAACCCAAAATTATAAGCATATTTATTCCGAGGTTTTTGAAATCGTATCTATGATTCAAGTATAGTTAGTAAAATACGGTACGGGAAAGTTACGTATAAAATACGTACGGGATTTTTACTTCGTCTCTATGCTAATGTTACGTTTAATAGTACGTTAATTGAATAAATATATTAAAATTAATTATTTTAAAAATAATTAAATATATTAATAATAGTAAAGTTTGTAATTTAATCTGTTAAATACGGATATTAAACGTGTTATACGGATTTTATACGTGTTTAATACGGGAGCCATCAAATGAACGGAGAAAAATGAAACGGCTTGACAATAATACGGATACGGAAGTTTTAAACGGATAAAGTACGTACGGGTACATATACGTGTATTAAACGGAGTATTTACTAACTATCATTCAACCATAAGAACCTTCTATCGGAATTAAACGACTAGACGACCCCAGTCGGTTCAAGGGTTTTGTAAAGTTCCATATCAATCCTCTTGAAAATCAACGATTTCGTACTAGTCTTTCAAAGATTAACCAATAGCATTTTAATCCCAACCTTTGACAATCAAAGCACTTGTACATATGGCCTTAAACGATCCTACCACCTTTGGTACTTCATTAGTTTGATTGTTTCTCTCGTTAATTTATGTGCATCTTAGCTTGCTTCTCCAACAAATACCATTAGTAATACTACTAATACATCATCGTAATACATATACCAAGGCAAGCTAAATAATTGATAATGACAGGACTTAATGTGGTTAACCATAAAACAAATTGCTAACAAAAAAATTATTTCCCCTAATTTTTCTAGTTTTGTTGAAATGTTTTAAGTTCCAATTTTATTAACTTTGTGCCTTTAAGGTTTTCTTATTTTGAGAAAATATTTACTCAATTAATATCATTTTGAATGTTCTTAGTAGTTTAGGTATCAAAAGGTAATTAAAAGTAAGTAAAATTTTGGGCAATTTTTATCGAAAGGCCATTTTCCTTGGATTTTGAAGGCTAAAAATGGCGGATTCGGCCTGAGGCTATTCTTCAACGATGATTAAGTCCATCAAGCACCGATTTGGGCGGATTTCTTCCGGGTCCATTTTTGGCAGATTCCAAAGGGGTACCATCACAGATTTCGGGCGATTTTTCCGAAATGCCATTTTCTTTCGATTTTGGAGGCTACATATCACGAATTCAGCCCAAGGCTATTCTCCACCGATAATGAAGTTTATTGATCCTATTCTGCGCCGATGATTAAGTCAATTAAGCACCGAATTGGGCCAATTAATTTTGGGATGACATTTTCGTAATTTGTTGGGCAATTTTTATCGAAAGGCCATTTTCCTTGGATTTTGAAGGCTAAAAATGGCGGATTCGGCCTGAGGCTATTCTTCAACGATGATTAAGTCCATCAAGCACCGATTTGGGCAGATTTCTTCCGGGTCCATTTTTGGCAGATTCCAAAGGTGTACAATCACAGATTTCGGGCGATTTTTCGGAAATGGCATTTTCTTTCGATTTTGGAGGCTACATATCACGAATTCAGCCCAAAGCTATTCTCCACCAGTAATGAAGTCTATTGATCCTATTCTGCGCCGATGATTAAGTCAATTAAGCACCGAATTGGGCCAATTAATTTTGGGATGACATTTTCGTAATTTGTTGGGCAATTTTTATCGAAAGGCCATTTTCCTTGGATTTTGAAGGCTAAAAATGGCGGATTCGGCCTGAGGCTATTCTTCAACGATGATTAAGTCCATCAAGCACCGATTTGGGCAGATTTCTTCCGGGTCCATTTTTGGCAGATTCCAAAGGTGTACAATCACAGATTTCGGGCGATTTTTCGGAAATGGCATTTTCTTTCGATTTTGGAGGCTACATATCACGAATTCAGCCCAAAGCTATTCTCCACCAGTAATGAAGTCTATTGATCCTATTCTGCGCCGATGATTAAGTCAATTAAGCACCGAATTGGGCCAATTAATTTTGGGATGACATTTTCGTAATTTGTTGGGCAATTTTTATCGAAAGGCCATTTTCCTTGGATTTTGAAGGCTAAAAATGGCGGATTCGGCCTGAGGCTATTCTTCAACGATGATTAAGTCCATCAAGTATCTATTTGGGCGGATTTCTTCCGGGTCTATTTTTGGCAGATTCCAAAGGGGTACCATCACAGATTTCGGGCGATTTTTCCGAAATGCCATTTTCTTTCGATTTTGGAGGCTACATATCACGAATTCAGCCCAAAGCTATTCTCCACCAGTAATGAAGTCTATTGATCCTATTCTGCGCCGATGATTAAGTCAATTAAGCACCGAATTGGGCCAATTAATTTTGGGATGACATTTTCGTAATTTGTTGGGCAATTTTTATCGAAAGGCCATTTTCCTTGGATTTTGAAGGCTAAAAATGGCGGATTCGGCCTGAGGCTATTCTTCAACGATGATTAAGTCCATCAAGTATCTATTTGGGCGGATTTCTTCCGGGTCTATTTTTGGCAGATTCCAAAGGGGTACCATCACAGATTTCGGGCGATTTTTCCGAAATGCCATTTTCTTTCGATTTTGGAGGCTACATATCACGAATTCAGCCCAAGGCTATTCTCCACCGATAATGAAGTTTATTGATCCTATTCTGCGCCGATGATTAAGTCAATTAAGCACCGAATTGGGCCAATTAATTTTGGGATGACATTTTCGTAATTTGTTGGGCAATTTTTATCGAAAGGCCATTTTCCTTGGATTTTGAAGGCTAAAAATGGCGGATTCGGCCTGAGGCTATTTTTCAACGATGATTAAGTCCATCAAGCACCGATTTGGGTGGATTTCTTCCGGGTCTATTTTTGGCAGATTCCAAAGGGGTACCATCACAGATTTCGGGCGATTTTTCCGAAATGCCATTTTCTTTCGATTTTGGAGGCTACATATCACGAATTCAGCCCAAGGCTATTCTCCACCGATAATGAAGTTTATTGATCCTATTCTGCGCCGATGATTAAGTCAATTAAGCACCGAATTGGGCCAATTAATTTTGGGATGACATTTTCGTAATTTGTTGGGCAATTTTTATCGAAAGGCCATTTTCCTTGGATTTTGAAGGCTAAAAATGGCGGATTCGGCCTGAGGCTATTCTTCAACGATGATTAAGTCCATCAAGCACCGATTTGGGCAGATTTCTTCCGGGTCCATTTTTGGCAGATTCCAAAGGTGTACAATCACAGATTTCGGGCGATTTTTCGGAAATGGCATTTTCTTTCGATTTTGGAGGCTACATATCACGAATTCAGCCCAAAGCTATTCTCCACCAGTAATGAAGTCTATTGATCCTATTCTGCGCCGATGATTAAGTCAATTAAGCACCGAATTGGGCCAATTAATTTTGGGATGACATTTTCGTAATTTGTTGGGCAATTTTTATCGAAAGGCCATTTTCCTTGGATTTTGAAGGCTAAAAATGGCGGATTCGGCCTGAGGCTATTCTTCAACGATGATTAAGTCCATCAAGCACCGATTTGGGCAGATTTCTTCCGGGTCCATTTTTGGCAGATTCCAAAGGTGTACAATCACAGATTTCGGGCGATTTTTCGGAAATGGCATTTTCTTTCGATTTTGGAGGCTACATATCACGAATTCAGCCCAAAGCTATTCTCCACCAGTAATGAAGTCTATTGATCCTATTCTGCGCCGATGATTAAGTCAATTAAGCACCGAATTGGGCCAATTAATTTTGGGATGACATTTTCGTAATTTGTTGGGCAATTTTTATCGAAAGGCCATTTTCCTTGGATTTTGAAGGCTAAAAATGGCGGATTCGGCCTGAGGCTATTCTTCAACGATGATTAAGTCCATCAAGTATCTATTTGGGCGGATTTCTTCCGGGTCTATTTTTGGCAGATTCCAAAGGGGTACCATCACAGATTTCGGGCGATTTTTCCGAAATGCCATTTTCTTTCGATTTTGGAGGCTACATATCACGAATTCAGCCCAAAGCTATTCTCCACCAGTAATGAAGTCTATTGATCCTATTCTGCGCCGATGATTAAGTCAATTAAGCACCGAATTGGGCCAATTAATTTTGGGATGACATTTTCGTAATTTGTTGGGCAATTTTTATCGAAAGGCCATTTTCCTTGGATTTTGAAGGCTAAAAATGGCGGATTCGGCCTGAGGCTATTCTTCAACGATGATTAAGTCCATCAAGTATCTATTTGGGCGGATTTCTTCCGGGTCTATTTTTGGCAGATTCCAAAGGGGTACCATCACAG